AAAATGTCAATTATTAAATTTTATATATCATTGACCGTTTGTATAATAATAATTTTCCTTGAAATTTTTTCAGAGGGTCGAAAGCACAAAAACAACCGTTGTAAGTCAGAGTATTTTTGAAAAAAGAATACTACCTTCCATCTGTTTTTATACAGTCCATAATCTTAGCATCTTTTCTTATCTAATGTTTGTTTTTAAAAGGATTTTCATAGTCCTTCAATGAACATGAGAGAGCAATCAGAGGTTGATGATAGGCCTCAAAAATCTCTAAACGAGAAGCAACAAGAGTATCAAGATTTGCTCATCCGTTGTGTTGCCCAACACCTCGGCTTCTCAAAAGGCCGACCAGTTGCCGCTTGCATTATTTACAAATGTCTCAGGCAGTGGCACTCGTTTGAGGTCGAGCGAACGAGCATTTTCGACCGGATAATACAAACCATCGGCAACGCTATAGAGGTGGTGAACCGTGACGGGAAAATCTTCGATTCTAATTAAAGTTTCCATTTTTGTATATTTATTTGTATATGTATATATACTGGGCCCGTTTTTTAATGTTTTTAAAATTGTGTATGCAAGACTCAGGACAATAATGATATCTTGGCATATTGGTTATCAAATGCCTCGACTCTATTGCTTTTGTTGCAACTCACGCTGAAAGCTGGGGCAGCTGCCGGGACTGCCCCACAACACCGACGTTCGCCATCGGCCACTTTGTTCGGGAGAATGACACAGGTTTTATTTAAAATATAGAAATTTTAAAATTAAACCTTAGGTTTTGCCTAATTACAAGAATTTTAATTACCTTCGAAAAGTGTAAAAAAATACCCCCGAAAGGTTATTACAAGTACGTGCAATTTGTAAATATAAAATCACATGTTATTAGGGGCGTATTTGTTATTGTTGGAATATCTCTTGTGAGTTGTCCCACATTGATTCTATACGGGCTCATTTTTTTTATGGGCCATAGCTAAACAAAATATAACAACATTTGGATGTTTAATATTTGTCTGATAATACTTTCTATTTATTTAATCTTTTTTTAATCGCAGAGTTTTCGTGGGAGCCCTCATGGCGTAAATCTTTCATTACTGAATGATGATTCAGCTGGTACTTTACGGCAAGTAGAGGCAAAATACCCTGCATTACTGTTTAAACAGCAGCTGACAGCGTATGTGGAGAAAATTTACGGTATGATTCGTGATAATCTAAAGAAAGAGATTTCTCCACTTCTTGGGCTATGCATTCAGGTAAACTTTCGACGTGTTTTAGTCAGAGAATCAATATAGGAACTCTTTTTTTTTTTTTTCATTATGGGGTGACACATTGTTGATTATAAGTTTCATGCAGTATTGTTTGTGAATTAACATGTGCGTGTAATTTGATTGGTGTAGGCTCCAAGAATATCCAGAGCGAACTTAGTTAAAGGATCAACTGCTCGTGCTCTAGCAAATGCAGCCGCACAGGAAATTTTAATTGCTCATTGGCAAGGAATCGTGAAGAGCCTCGGCAATTTTCTGAACACACTGAAAACGAATCACGTAATCACATTTTTTTTTCCTTACTAAAATTGCTTCTGATGCACTATTAATCTTTAATGCGTCTTTTATATTATTATATTACCCATTCTTTGGAATATTTTTTATGACTATTAATCTATCTGCAGGTACCACCGTTTTTGGTCCGGAAAGTGTTTACTCAAATATTTTCATTCATCAACGTGCAGTTATTCAACAGGTACCGTATATTGCTTTTTAGTTTTTGCAGACCAATTTTACATTCTACGAAGCCTCATTAGCCGATATAATGGGATAATGATGTTTACTTGTTGCTTGCAGCCTTTTACTGAGGCGAGAATGTTGTTCGTTTAGCAACGGTGAATATGTAAAGGCTGGATTAGCAGAATTGGAGCACTGGTGTTACAAGGCAACAGATGAGGTACTTAATTTTACCCGAGTAAAAAGAAAAAAAAAAAAAGAAAAAGAAAAACAAAACTCTCGATTTTTGTTCTCTTTGTTTCTCTTGCTAAATTTGCAGCATATATTACAGTATGCAGGTACATCCTGGGATGAGCTCAAGCATATAAGACAGGCAATCGGGTTCTTGGTATTTTTCTTATTTTCTCTCTTCTTTGCACGAAAATCCCGAATCACGAATTTGCATAAAGAAGAATAAGAAAGAATACATTAATGCTGATGTGTTTATAACATATAAGCAGAAAAAAAGGGCATTTTTTTTATTTGTTGTTTGTAAGGACCACGAATTTTATAAAAACATCTTTTGTACTGTAACAGGTCATACATCAGAAGCCAAA